GATTTTAATTATGTGATTACGAGAACCCTAAACGGCTCCCCCGCATTAACAAATTTAATCGCATGTGCAAGACATGAAAAAAGGAAAAATATAAACACGTTGCCAATGATATTTACCCTAATAAGTGCTTTACTTCTTTGTTGTTGTTTTCTGTGGTTATATAAGTAAAACGTATTGCTTTAACTAACCATTCTGTCTTGCTTTGTCAGTGGTAACACAGAAAACATGGCTTTCAAGGAGATTCTCGTCCTCCTCGTTTTGGTTCATGTAGTTGGTTCTATTAGAGTGCTAAACTGCCGTAAGTATCTGTAGCCTACATTTGATTTATTTCAAAATAATTGCACTTTAATCAAAGTTAAAAATTCTTCATCATTTACTCTCTTGGCGATCACAAAGGAATTGTTTCCCATATCCAGGAAAGATAACGTTCTTCATTGTGGTTTTGTAGATAACTAAAAGCTTAATCGTTTGTCTTTAATCTTTTCTTTAAGACATATCCTTGTTGTATTGATCCACATCATTTGACATTAAAGGACTAGGAATAATGCTGCGGTGAGAGTGCTCTTCTTCCACCACTGTAGCTCGGGTTCGATTCCTAGACAGATGTCAGATGCGGGTTAAGTTTGTTGTTGGCTCTCGTCCTTGCTCTAAGGGTTTTTCTCTAGGTCGTTTTGTTTTCCACCTTCCACAAAAACCAACTTTTCGAATTCCATTTCGATCTGGAAACAGTAGACGAGAAAAGCCATTTAGGGAAATGTCCATTGCAAAATTCTCATTCATATATTTAGTTCCTATTCCTATGCCCATTACCTCAAGTAATTTGTTTCTACTGTACCTCTCAGGGGGACGTGGTAAGACTGTGATGGTTCATGGTGGGAAGATGATGTTGAGCAGGCATGTACGTGCCTTTAGGATTACAGGAAGGGTAAGAATTGCCAGACGTGGGATGGCACCATTCAGATACCGCGTATCAATATTGAAGAAGATCAGAGGAAACAGGTACAGGCGGACATTTTGCCCCAGACGTTTTTGGTAAGTTAAATAATGAAACCTCCTGATTCCATTCTTTTTCTCTTACTGAAGATTCCACCTATTTTGACGCTAATTGCTGCATAACGAGATTTCCCCTCTAAAGAGGTTCTCAGAGGGTTAATCGCAAGCCGTAAAACGGCAAAAAAAATTCAGCTATTAAGGCTTAAAATTTGACAAATTTTAACCGTTGGTCGTAAAATAAAGTTCGTTTTGTATCATTTTTGGTTAAGCGTCTGCCGTAAAATGGCTAGTTTTTTAACTGTTAACCGTAAAAGCTATCAACCTATTGACACCTACATTTACAACTTTGCAGTTCTATTGCAAGTACTGTACATTTCTACAACCTTGTAGACTCACCAGCGATTGTAGTAATCATTGTTACTTATCGATGAAAGTGTGGGACGTGAAATGTGCGACGAGCAGTATCTATAAAGAGCATCTACAGTTATTCTCCTTTGCAGCAAAGTCTAAGTGCTCTCTGAGTTGTATCCGGGACTTCGTTAATTTGATTTTAAATCAAATTAATTAACTGATGAGGGACAGACAGAGCCGTAGTGGGTAACCTTGCGATGGTTTAGCTTCCCATCGTAATCAAAACTCGTTTCCTGCAACATGGAAACCGAGAAAAGTTTTAGACTTCATATTTCAGTTTACCTCAACTAATGGATGACTTTGACTTTGTACTAGTTTTCCTTTAAATTGTATTGGTTTTTTTTTTTCTGAAGCAATCGTCGGTTCAGATGCAAAGCCATTCCGAGAATCTTACGTGGAGCAAGATGCAGACGACGCCTCTTACTGCCAGGATTAACGAGGATTAATAGTAGATGGCTTCGTGTGCCTCGTCTGTTGCGGAGGCTGATGAGAAGAGTACAAAGGGTTAGAAATTTAGCATTTTTCACTTTTTTCACGATTTCCCGACGCAGATTGGGAGAACTTGAGACTGTTACGCAACTCCCAACGCTTGAATGTTTAGAGGAGGTTAGATAAACACGAAAAAATCTTCTGCGGCTGTTATAAAATAATTTATTTGATTCCAGTGGTTTTGTTTTATGTGATTATTCAAAACAGTTGGAGGTCACTGATTACAAAAAAGCCGTGGGACTCAGTAAAGAGTGACCGTGACCGCTTAATAAAAGAGAAAATTACACTGAACTACGGGGGAAAAACTCGATCATTCGACAACCGACCACTTATACAGGATGATTGCAAAATGCGGCACCGCTTAATACGGGTTCGGCTATACATATACAAAGATCATTACTAACTGCTGCTATTTCTCTTCGATTTTCCAGGGACAGCTCAGGATTGCTGTACGATTTTATGCAAGGGGACTGTATGGATGCTTCGAGATCAGAAAGTAAAAATGCTTCTCGGAATAAAAGAAATGGCTAAAATAAAAGTTAATGTTAGTAAAAGAAAGTAAAAATGTTTCTTGGGATGAAAGAATAGACTAAAATAAAGTCAGTGTTAAGGGGACTTTGTATCCTATTGCTTGATTTACTAATACGACAAACCCCGGAACATCGAACCTCGAACCTAATATCTCTATGATTACCCCCCACCCCCTCCACCCTCTCATTGGAAGTTAATTGACAGTCAATTTTCTCGAATCTTCCCTTTATACTCTGTTTATGACAACTGGCTGATTTTATACCATATTTATCGGTCCTTAAAACAGTTTTAAACTGGTAACAATACTTTTGAATTTAATTCCGAAAGCAATAAAAACAACAACAAAGAATGAGTGTCGAAAGAATGAACCCTTCCAGGTGGTAAGTCTTAACTTAATTGGAGGACGATCGTCTCTCACTATTGTCCCATCACTGTGGTGTAAGGCATCACCAATAGCAAGGTCATGTTGCGAAAGGTGCGTTGCGTGTATTTCGGAGAAAAATGCAAAAGGTTATTCAACGAGAAAAGACCATACGCAACGAATGCAGTCAATTCACCGTGCGATCGACCACCTTGGTGCAGGAAGAAGTGTTCGAGAAGTTTTGCTTATTTTTTCTTGTTTTGTTACGACGCATGATATTACATGCATGATATCACATGCTATGAATATTTTATATCAATTTTGCTATTTAGAAAAGATCTCTGGTACCTGGGTAATAAAAGGATTTCAAAAGCTTCTTTGCATGGTGACTTATCTTAAAAAGAAAGAGAAGGAATCTCGGACCTCGAAAATATTTGTGGTCGCTTAAGAAGTCGAGCAAAGGTAGCTTACCAGAGAGTTTTGGAAACTAGAGTTGAATGAAAAAATAAAACGGTTATCAATAGAGTGGTCGCTTTAAGGAAGTGGTCGCTTAGTAAAAAAAACATCATGCAATCACCTTTCACTTTTCGATTGTGTCCAAGTAAGATAAATCTTCTATAGAATATTTGAACTAGACCAATTCATGAACAATCGATAACCTCCACTCCTGATAACGTCTCCGTGAACTATTTCATCAAATCTTTTTGTCCTCCATTTTTATCTGAAATTTCTGTTGAAAAATTAGACAAATTTTAATCGATGAATGTCAGATTGATTACCTTCTTTTCGAAAAGAATACAGAAAAGAAAAGATGAAAAAAAAAAAAAACAAAAACAAAAACAAAAGGATGCGAGACGCATAGGATCTGCTGTTACGGAATACCTCACAAAATAACTCGCGACAAGCAGAGAGCCTTCTGGCTAATTTCAGACCAGAAGGGAAGGGAATATATTTGCCACACGTGTATCTATGAAATATTTACCCACGTCTGTAAGAAATAAGTGAAGCTGAAAAAATACGACAAATAACGAAAAATCAATATGGTTGTTTAACGGAATATTCTAAAGCGATTGCCGAATATTAAAGTTACGGGTAGATTTCTCCTAGAAAGCGATCACTTTGAGCATTTTTAAGAGTCTGAACGCTGTAAAGAAAGGTTTGTGTTATTTACCGGCAAAACTGTTTTCTTTTAGTCTAGTATGGTGAGAGGACCTTATTCCTCGACGTAAGAGATTTCTTTATTCGTCCTTAAGTATTGGATTTGCATCAAAATGTGACTTAAAGGTGCGCTTACACAGTAATTATAATGGTTCGCTTGCAGTAATGAATTATAAGAGCAAGTTTTCTCAGGTGGGATACGTCACAGAAAGCTGGCAGCAAAATTTGCTCTGAGGGATGGATGATACTTCTTTGTTATTCTTATATTTTATGCTGTTGATCATTGCTATAAGTAAGACGTAGTTAGGTTTTTGTAAATCATTACGTATTGTTTTCCAAGTGAAAACACAACCAAAATGGCTATCAAAAAAATCTTCATTTTTATGGCATTGGCTTTTGCTGTTG